TCTACCACTGAGCTACAGTCCCCACTGTTACATTTCTGTATTGTTTGATTTTTAGACATCAACAAAGACATATCAGCTTTGTAGAGATCAAAACAAAATCAAGGCTTATTTTCCGGAGCTCCTGCCTCAGCCTGCAGCTTTGGTGCCTGGTGTCCGTGTGTGCAGGTCACCCACTCCTGTGCGCTGGAACAGTACCTGGGATCGTGATAGTTCAGAGGAAACGCAGGCCCTCGCAGTGTGGCCTGAACAGTGGCTAACGTTCGGTGGTAACGGTGTTTCAGGAAGTTTCTGTCCCTAAGATCCTCCTCCTCACCCTCAACTTAACATACCAGCTTAAGGCTTCCAAGAAAATGTACTGTTCAGGTAATTTCTGCTTCCAACCAGCAACCATGTTGTCCCTTCAGTGGCTAAGCCTGGGGTTCTTCCTCTCCCGCCCTCTCCCTCCACACCCTCCCCTTTGTCCGTCCCTGGCTGGAGACAGCTAAAATATCTGTGCAGATCAGTGTTCGTACAAAGAGAGCACTTTCCCCCACAGAAGCCCCTTGAATTATTCACACTCTCCCTCTCTGGTTTCCTGTTTTGTGTTGTCTCCTTCCCTTGACAGCAGAAGCAGACGGACATCTGGCCACAGGGTTTGGCCCTCAGTGAGAGGGGAAGGCAGGCCCTGCACAGCCACTGTCCTGCCTGGGGAGGAGCCAGGCAGTGCTAGGTTGGAAGGTGTATAGCAGCTCTTATGCCAGTGTAAGTCACTGGTCCCTAAACAAAACTCACGCACAGTCCCTGCACCCAGCCAAGCTGCAGACCTGAGGAGAAAGCAGGCCCTGGCCTGGCTGAGGCTATCAGTGGGTACGTTTGGCAGGTGGCTGAACCAGAACCCGCGAAGCTCTACTGTGAATTTCAGAGGGTGCACTAAAGAGCTTCTTCCTTCATATCTCTTATACTCGGGGAACCCCCTTGCTCACCTTCTCCAAATCTTTAAGCTATGGCTCTGGGGGCAACCGAGAGCAGAGAGCAACGCCCCTGGCCCCTGGTGTGCTGGGGCTGCAGCTGTTGCAAAGGAATGTAGCTCCAGCCATGCCATCCTGACTAGGTCACAGTTCAGCAGGACCCAGGTCAGCCACAGAGGGTGAGGGGGCGTGGGGGGATGTGCACACAGCTTCCACAGCCCTCCCAGATCCTTGGGTCTCTGTCCATGTTAAAAAGCTAAAAATCAACTCAAAGTGGAACAAAGACTTAGGCCTGGAACAGAGACCCTGTGCCTACTCGAAGAAAAAGCAGGCCCAAATCGTCATCACATTGCTTAGGATCTGACTTCCTTAACGAGACTTCTAAAACACAAGAAGTAAAATCAAGAATCAATAAACGGGATGGACTCAAACTAAAAAGCTTTCTCTCAGCAAAGAAAACAATCAATAATGTGAGGAGAAAGCCTACAGAATGGGAGAAAATCTTTACCACCCGCACCTCAGACAGAGCAGTAATCTCCACGATATTTAAAGAACTCAAAAAACTTAACACCAAAAACAAAACACCCAATCAATAAATGGACCAAAGAATTGAACAGTCACTTCACAGAAGAAGGAATACAATCGATCAACAAACATGAAAATATATTCAACATCTCTAGCAATCAGAGAAATGCAAGTCATCTCAAGATTTCATCTCACTCCAGTCAGAATGGCAATTATCAAGAATACAAGCAACAGTAAGTGTGGGCGAGGATGTGGGGAAAAGGCACACTCATACATGGCTGGTGGGACTGCAAATTGGTGCAACTAATCTGGAAAGCAGTGTGGAGATTCCTCAGAAAACTTGGAATGGAACCGCTACTTGACCCAGTTATCCCACTCCTTGGTTTATACCCAAGGGACTTAAAATCAGCATACTACAGTGACACAGCCACATCAATGTTTATAGCAGCTCAATTCCCAATAGCTAAATTATGGAGCCAACCTAGATGCCCTTTAACAGATGAACAGATAAATAAAGTGTAGTATACATACACAATGGAATATTTTTCAGCCTTAAAGAAGAAGGAAATCATGGCATTTGCAGGTAAATGGATAGAGTGGAGAATATCCTGCTAAGAGAAATAAGCTAAACCTAAAAAACCCAAAGGATCCAATGTTTTCTCCGAGAAGCGGATCTGATCCATAATGGAGTGGCGGGGTGGGAGGGTGCCGGGAGAATGCAGGCCCTTTGGATGGTGAGCGGGGAGTGATGCAGGGATGGAAGGCCGGTGGAATGAGGCAGACATGATCACCCTGTATACAGGTATGATCACACTCCTGGTGTGACTCTGCACCATGTTCAGCCAGAGGAAGGAGAAATTGTGCTCCGTTTCTGTGCATGTGTCAAAATGCATCTTACTCTCAGGTATAACTAATTAGCACAAATTAAAAAAAGAAAGAAAGAAAAGCTGAATGTGCAACCAGGGGCTTCCTGCACCACTGACAGGCAGGAGCCGGGGGGAAACAGGAGTGAGTCAAGCCCTGCAGGCCAGCAGGTCAGCTGGCGGAAACCACCTCTTCCCTATCGGGCTGCTATGAAGTGGCTGTGGGTGTCCCCACAGCAGGGGCTTCTGCAAGGGGTGGCCTACCCAGAGGAGGCTGCTATGTGAGGCCAAGCGTACTCCCACCCTCCTCGCCTCTCCCTATGGGGCCTGCCTGCCCTGTCCCTGGCCTCGCTCTCTCACCTGGAGACAGGTATTTAAAAGAGACTCTAAGACCCTTCCCACGCCTCCCAGAGCCCTGCTCAGGCTACAGAAAGAGCACCAAGCTTCTTACTCCTCGTGTACAATTGCCATCCCAGGACCCCTCACAGTCACATCAGCACCGCTGTGGAGGGCACGGGCCACGAACCAGGCTCCACCCAGACTGCTGCTCCTGCAGGCCCCCTTCTTGCCTGGTCACAAGGCGGAACAGCACCCTGCCAGATGGGAGAATGGCCAGTGATGTCCTCTGATCGGAGTCCACGGAGTGTGCCCAACCTCTGCCCAGATGTGGAGAAGCCTGATGCTCCAAGTGGGCTCCATCATCTGCTGCGTTTACGTGACTGGAAACAGCCTGGAGTCCAGAGCCGGATGGACACTGCTCCTCCCCTTCCCCAGAACAGTGGTGCTGAGAGGTCCCATCGACTTCCAACTGCAGTCTCTGCTGCCTCCTGCCATGCGGGCAAGCCAGCTGGACGTGGGGTGGCTGCCAGGCTGAGGAGGAGGGGACTCTTCTGGCATGGACTCCCCGGGGAGCCTGCTCATGTTGTCCCAGATCCACCCCATCAGCAGGATACGGGTGCCACTAGCTACCGCCATGAGCCAGCCGCTGTGGCTCCTACGGGTCCTTCAGCCCTAGTGAATTTGTGGGGTCGGCCTCATTGTAACCACCCTCTGTGGCTGACGTGGACCTTAGGGGGCAGGACGATTTCCCAAGGCCACCCTACGATGCAGAAACAGGATTTGAAGCCAAATCTCCCTGATGTCAAAACTCAGGCTTTCTTTCCTGTAACCTCCACTAAGTGTCAGGCTGAAGAAAGAAAGAAGGCCTAGGCCCACCCCAGTGGTCACCCCTCACTCCTGAGCTGGCCTGACACAGCGGTCCTCATCTAGGAAGTCCAGGCGGGGAGCTGCTGCTGCCTGGACCCCCTCACCTGGGCAGGTCCAGTAAGTGGCGAGCAGAGGTTCAGGCCAGATGAGCCTCTCCCTGACTGTCCGACTGTGTCTTTGCAGCAACCCGGGTTCTCTTTCTCGAATGGCCCCTTCTAAGAGGCCAGCACAGCTAGAAGGCTGACGCACCGCGGCTCTCCCACCTCGATCCGCTGTGCTCTATGCCACACCACTCCAGTGGGCTGGGAAACAATGCAGGCATCTCATAACAGACTCTGGCTGTGAAGGAAACTGTGGGCGAAGGGGAGATGAACTCCAGGAGCCGCGGCTTCAGTCCAAATACGGGGTTTTGCCTTTCGGTTGGCGGTGTTGGGGGTGGAACCTGGGGTCCAGCGCATGCTAAGCCTGCACTCTACCATTGAGCTGCATCCAGCACGGGGAGAGTTTTGACAGAACTCAGACCTTTGATGCACACACCAGGTGCAGTGATGTCACCTGGAGACAGGTATTTTAAAGAGACTCTAACACCCTTCAGAATGTTTTTTTCCCCCCGGGAAGATCTGGATGTGCATTATGAATTAAATCACATTAGGGGACATTAGTAATATTTAGCAGTTATGTAGAAAATGTCATTGTTAGGTGCTCTTACCAAAATACTGAGGGTTGAAATGTCATCATACATGTCATTTATTTAAAAATATTTTGGCAGGAAACTAGATGAAGCAAATATGAGGAAACATTGACGTTAAACTCGAGTGATAGGTGCGCGGAACTCATCCTCCTGTTTTCCCAGCTTATCTGTGCGCTTACAAATTTGCATAATAAAAAGTGCAAAGAAAACAAAGCTTTCAGGAGCCCAGGAGCCCAGGCTCCATTGCAAAGGTGACATTGGGTTTTGTGGTAAACAGGGTTCTAAGGCCTGAGGATCCTCACCCCCCAGTATACACCACCAGAATAACTCCCTCACCTGGAGCGTGGGCAAGACCTGGGGGTGAGGGCCATGAGATTGTCCTTCAAGACGTGATTGTGTTACATGGTGAGGACAAGGGATTTTGCAGATGCACTTGGGGTCCCTGACCAGTTGATTTTGAGCTAGTCCCAGGGAGGTTGTCTAGTCAGGCGAGCTCTGTCAAGGACAGATTGCAAGCAACCAAAGGCCCTCTCTTGCTGGCCTTCAAGAAGCAAACTGCCAGAGTGGACGGGGCTACCAGGTGGGCAACGGCAGCCGTCAGCAGGGAGGGCCTCAGGCTGTAACCACAGAGCTTAGAGGAAGACCCTGTGTGAGCCCCGTGAGCTGCAGGCCCAGGCCCCACCTCCATCTCAGCACTGGGAGAGCGGCCCACCACCAGGCAGCTGAGAACTGCTAACTCACACTCCCAGGGCGTGGAGACTGGGGCAGCACGTGCACACGGTTCCACACAAGCCCGTGATTTGTCCTGGAGCAGCAGCACACAAGCGCAAGGTCCAGCTCAGGAGCCGTCCCAATCGGTTAGAGATGGCAGCCTAGGGCTCTGTATCCCCAGGGACTCTCGGCTGGCCAGCCCCTTGCAGGCGAGAGCTGTGGCCGCTCAGCAAGGTCTGCGGGCATGGGGGCCACGGCCTGCCACTCCTGTTGCCAGGCACCGCTCCTGTGCGCTTGAGGAAGCTGGGGTTCACTGACTTTCAAAATGACAAGGTAACACTGAGGGTAATACCGCTTGGGTCCCCAGGCTGGACGGGGAAAACCTCAGAGACGAGACGGGGGAAGTTACTGAAGCAGATTTTGGACGTTGTCTGAAGCTGCGGCCTTGCTGGCTGCCTTGGCTGGTCTGGGCCTTCACCTGTTCTCTCTCTCCGCTGCCTTTAAACCCGCACAGGTCCTCCCTGAGCTGGGAAAATCTCCCCCTCAGGACATCACCCGACCTTGCCCCGACTTCTAGGACTCTAACACAGCTGGGCTCTTGACCCTTCCTCCCATGCTCAAGCCCAAGAGGTCACAACCTCGTTGCTCAGCCTTGACCTTGGACACAGGCCTGTTAATCTGAAAACCGCGCAGAGATAACAGCACAGTAGCCGATAACCGAAGCCACGTCTCCCCATGAGGCAGGTGTCCCCAGCGAGTGTGTGTTGTGGAGTCCTGGCCACCTTCATGTCCACGCAGTTCCCAGCCAGGCAGATCCCCCTCCCCACTCCCAGCAGCACCCCACCCTTCCTACAGCCACAGGGCAACCTCCAACAAAGCTGAAGGAAGATGCTGAGGAGTCACTCCCAGCATCTTCCACGATAATAAATAAAAACAAATGTGTTTCTGGGTGCAAAATATTTCCTCTCACCAGGGTCGCCGCCTGGAATCCAACCAGTCCCCTGCTCCTAAACCAGGGGACCATGACCGAGCCGCGCTCACATTCCTGACCCACTCGGTCATCTTTATTTACTTCTGCACCAGGGGCTTCTAACTCACAAGAAGGACTTCCGACACGACTAGGCACACAAACTGCGCGGGTGGACCTCCAATGAGCGCGGCCGCTTGCTAACAGGTGGTCCTCGCACACCATTGCTTATTATGGCATTTACGACTGCAGGAATTCAACGCCAACATTTGAGCAAGAGGCTTTTCACTTTGAAAACCTGGCAAGCTGGACCTGCTGCTCTTGGAAACACTGGGATGGTGCTGAACGGCGGCCACGCTTTTCCCTTTACCACACTCCCCACCGCTCCCTGCCGCCTCCTCCTGGTCATCATGGTCTTGTTGCTGTTTTCTCATGAGATGGAAGAAAACTACTCTCACCCCATGCAAGCAGGCCCCTCTTATTCTTTGCCAGAGGCAGGTCCCTCCAGAGGCTGAATTTGCTGACCCCTGAGATAAATAAAACTCTTCAGCCTCCGGGACCCTGACTTGTGACTTGGCAGTGGGTAATGGCCTTGCATATATTTGGAGAGCTTTTTATTTTTTCCCTCAGATTGTTTCTATGCCACAATCTCCTGTTAGGTTAGAGCTCCTGTCAGCAGGAACCGTCGAGAGAGCTTGGTCATTTAAGAAACATAGCATTGTGTCCTTTAAAGAAGGCAGGACTCTGACACTCCGATCTTGACCTCCACCCCGTCCAGCAGGCCGAGCTGGACTCAGACCTCAAGGTGCCTCCTCACTGTAGCCCACAAAGGTTCCACTCAAAGTCCCCTCGACAGATGTGATATTTATTGGTATTTTTCTTCTAGATGGAGAAATAAAGAGAAAGGGGCTCCCCGCCTGCCCCTCCAAACAAAGCGTCTCTGGTTACCCCTGATTAAGATAGGGCTGTGGGCAGGAAGCAGGAGGCCAGGGAAGAGGATGGAGAGCGAGGAGGGCCTTGGAGGCCCAAGGGGAGGGAGCTGGGGCCGTCGCCAGCGAGGCTGGAAGACAGGGAGGCGAGGCCTGGGGACCCGGGACTCAAGGACTCACGGGACTGACGGGACTCACGGTTGAGCTGGCGCCTGCGGATCCTGTCCCTCCATGGCCTGCTTCGGATCCAGTGTAACCTCGAGGGCAGCACCATGGTCCCCAGGAGAGCAGGCCTAGGGCCTTCTCATGACAGGGCAGCCCAGGGCCTCTCAGCAATCCCGGAAGTCAGGTCCAGATGCATAAAAATTAAAAAGAGAAGAAAAACCACCTCTTCCTTTTTTTTTTTATATCTGAGGTTTCCGTTGACTTCTTTTATCTGCAACCTGCCTCCCCTTTCCCTCCCTGCTGACCCAGAGGCCGCTGCCGCACCGAGCCGCCCAGGGCCGGCCTCTCCCGGCCTCCTGTGCCATGTTTTATGCATGAAGATGATGGGGCGGTAATTTATTCAGCAGAGAGGATCTGGGCTCCTGTGTCGGCCCCAGCGTCAGCAGAGCCGCGCGCAGTGGCTGGCAGGGTGGCCTGAAATGGGAATCCATCTCTGCAGGCAGGAGTGAGGGGCAGGGCTGCTGAGCCACAAGGCAACACGGGTTGTGGGGTTTACCTGCCCGGGTCCCTGGTGCCCACAGGAGTGCGTGGCCACTTGCTGGTGGGCAGTAAGAATTGGTCAAACAGGTGAATGACTCACTGAAGCCAGCTCAGCGATGGTGTGTTCCTATGTCCTTCACACCATGGGCTCTCTCCATTCTCTGTCTTCAGATAGGTGCATTCAAACTTCTCTGCCAGCCTTTTCTCCCACCCAAGAGCACTCTGCACCTCACTCACCCAGGCACCCTTCAGAGTGTCATTTTTCCATGAAGTCAGAGATGGCGCTGCCTGAGCCTGGGTGGTCCTCCTGCACACCCAGCTATGTCAAGCCTTTTTCTTTTTCTCTGGTTTGTTTCAACAGGGAGCAAGCTTCTGAGGGCAAGAATTATGCATTCCTGTCACATACAGCAAGTGACATGGAGGTGTGACTTGGGGCAGCCCCCAGATCTCCATCACCTTTCCACAGCCTTCCCAAGTAAGTGTACACTCTACCTGAACACACCATGTTGCAGACTGGTTTCTGGAGCCTGGAGGGGGCTCTGCTCCCTGCTTTCTCGGCCTCCGGTGGCTGCCAGTTTATCTGATCGATTTCTAGGAGGTCTCCAATAGCCTGAGGGACGACCATATTGGCTGTGAAAACAGCTTCCATTCATGACCGCTCCCCGCTCCCCGGTGGAAGATGCTGGGCAGAGGCCCCTCTTAACACATGGATGAGCTGCGCAGCTCAGGCCTTCCCCCACACGATGTCAGCTTCATCCAGAGGGCAAACAGCGATGGGTCAAGGCCTCAGGAGTAGCCTTGCCCTGAGGCTAGAACGGCAAAGGGTGCCACCAAGTCACCAAGTTCAGCCCCTGCTGCTCTGTAAGCATGCTGAAGGCAGAAGTTCTGCCCTCTGTCTTGGGTTTCTCTTATAGTGTCTCCAGCAGAGAGACTCAGAGAGCCCTGCTGAGTCGCGGGAGTCAGAGGCTTGGGCTTGCAATTGGCTGGACGTGCACTTTTGACAGGTCTCAGGGAGTCTGTATGATGTTTTCTTTATTCACAAGAGGAGTGACCTGCAGACCTCAGAGTTATCATGTTGCAATGAGATCAAAAGCTTCTGAGGCTTTAGTAGAGTTTATGATTGGCCCGGACTCCTCCGCTAACTAGTACTGTGTCTGGTGACCCTGAGCTGAGATGCCAGGTGCAAACTCAGCAGCTTATCTTCATCTGTGAAAAACGCCAAGCATGAGAGCTGCTGTCGGGAGCTCATGCTGGTGGTTTCATGAGTCAATAAAACCAAGGGCTGAGAAAGGTTTTTAGTGAAGAGGAGGTGCTGGGTTGCCAGCCCCGTCATTAACTAGCCCAGGGATTCCATGAAAGCTGGCAGATCCTCTGGGCCTGTCTTCTTATCTGCAAAATAAAGGGGTCTGGGATATATTGTACCAAGAGTCTTACACATTAATTTCCTTTGGCCTCCATAGTAAGTCGCCACAATTCAGCAGCCTGAAACAACAGATTCATTGCCTCACATTTCTGAAGGTTAAGGTCTGGAATGGGTCTCTTGGCGCTAAAGCCATGATGTTGCCAGGACTGGTTTCTGGAGGCTGCTCCTTGCGTTCTCAGCCTCCGGTGGCTGCTGGCTTACCTGCCTTGATTTCTAGGAGGTCTCCAATAGCTTGAGGGACGACCATCCTGAGCTTGGCACCAACGGCAGTGACAGCCAAGACAACTGCCCCCAGACTCAGGTCCCTCGTGATGCGCCTGCTCCCTGAGCCTCCTTTTCTGAACCAGGGCAACGGTAGACACTGAGATCATAACACAGTCTCCGTCAGGCGCCCATGAGGTCTCTTACTGCAGCAACTGGACGACGCCCCTGACTGGCCAGTGCAGTTCAAGAAAACCAGGAGTGGACCCGTGTTCTGGAGACCCAGGAAGACGCCCGTGTTCTTCATTTCTCTTCTACATGGCACTTAACAGACCTCAAATCTGGGAGGTACAACTAGGCAAATGTGCCACGGAGGAGGTCACAGGACACCATGACCATGACGGTGTCCCTGTGGCCATGATCCCTCTGCCACCTTTTCCCACTCCTGGGCTCCTGAATATCTGGGAACTTGAATGTGAAGAATGTGATAGAAAATAAGTTTTTTTTTTTTTTTTTATCAGAATCAGACCTTCTTTCCTCCTGGCTAAGCCACACATTTCCTAGAGCTTCTGCTACGTGCGTCTCCCACGTTCTGACGTGCAGGACTCACAGCAGCACATCACCTCCACAGCAGGCCAGGGGCGGCACGTACAGTCGGGGGAAATGAGAGGCCACAGAAGAGCCGGCGTTTCCTTCCTCAGATTTAAATCTCAACAGTTCCCTTCTTATATCATGGAGGGGCGGCGTGGGGCATGGAGCGGGAAGCCTACCACTGCCTCCCTCTGCTGCTCTTTTCCACCGGGGTTGGCCGTGCTGCAGGCCTGGGCTGCAAGGGGCTGTTTCCTGTTGTGAATTGCTGCACTCCATCTTCTCTTTCATCATCTGCACACACATGAATGCCTGGAGTCAATTGCTTTGTGGAGTGTTAGTCTCCTAAGGAAAATTTCCATCTGTGTTAAGTGCAGTTTCAATGTTTACTCTTCTTGAAGCCCGCGTTGCTATTAAATTTTCATAAGTCACAGAATTTCATGGTGGAAATGCACAGAATCTGCTAGGAATGACGTGACGTGTTAGAAGCGCACGGGGGAGAAGCACAATTATGTGGTCCTTTCCTCTCTTCCCCTCTAGTCATTTTCAATAAGTGGAGCTGGACGTTAGACCTGGGAGCCAGAGCCCGGCATGGCTGCTTCTGCCTGAAAGCCGTCCTGGGAGGTCAGAACTCCCTCCCACCCCTGGGCCAAGGGTGGAAACTGTGGGGCAGAGGCACCCAGACTTAGGAAGGCCACACGGGAAGCGTGGTGTCACTGTGAGATAAATGCTCATGGAGCGCAGGAGGAAGACGGCAGCACAGAGCTGACTTGCCTCTCCGCCCCGTTGCACAAGAGGGCTCGCCCACGTTCTGGAACCCGCCGAGGTCTGGAAGCTAAGCACCGTGTGCTGCCTGCATGCATTACTGAACACTGACAAAGAGATCGGCTGTGTCACAAGCTTTACCTGGATAGGTGGCTTTATTTCATTTCCCCCACGTGGTTCTAAGCATTTTACTAATAAAAAAGTGAAGTTGACGTTCTCTAAGTGATATTTTCTAACACATGTTGTGGATTACCTATGCTTTACGTAACTGTCATTTCACACTCCCAGGCCCATTTTGCAGACAGAGAAGCTCAGGTCCATAGAAGTTCAGTAACTAGCCATGGGGACACACTTAGCAAGAGGCTGAGATGGGATTTGAACTCGATAACCTGGCTCTAGAGTGCCCACGTTTAATCACGGCCTATACCATCTCTTCACATTAAGGGGGGAAACCTTCCAGATGGCTGTGTAACTATTGTGTACCCTGCACATTCATGCTTCTGAAGTTTAGCAGTAATGGTCTATGTTAAAAGTATGTTCCATTAGCTTCAAAAAAGACAATAATTAAATAACCAAAAATGAGAAGTTGGACAGCCGTTAGAGAGTCGCCTTAGACTAGTGGAGCAGGGCTGTCTCTAGAGGTCACGGTGGAGACGGACCAAGCCAGTTTTCTCTGTTGACTCCATCGGCCTATGAAGCAGCCTGGATTTAGACAGCAGGAAAATGTCAAGCAGTGGTCTGTTTCACCTCTGCGTGGGCTTCTTCTGGAGATCCATTGACATTCAGAAAAGAATATTTTCTTTCAGGACATTCAAGTTTTCTTTGATCTTAACACCTTGGCACATGTCGAGGGCGTGGGAAACCCTCCGTAGCTCATCCCTGATGCCCTCCAACCTGCAGGGCCAGGTCTGTGCGGTTCCCATCAGCTCCCCTGTGCACTTCTGCACCTGACCACCCTAGATCTCCTCGAGTGACTGCTCACCAGCGCAGAGGGCCAGAAGGGCCTGGGGGTGCATGTCCTCCCTTCCTCCAGGGCAGCCCTTACCCCTGGACTGCCAGAGAACCCAGCTCCTCCTTGCCTGGGGATGCACTGGAGGCAGAATTTGCCCTCTAGGGCTCCCCTGTGGGACTGGCACCCCATCCCCACCTTACTGCTCCCCCTGGGAGTATTCTCTTAATAAATTACAAGTCTCAGCATCTGTTTCTGGAGCTCCATTGAAAACAATCCCCAGATCCAAAGACAGGCTGCACTCTTTTGTGAGCTGTGAATGGAGGTAACTGAGTGCGTGTCAAAGGGGCTCTTTGGGTCCTCTGAGGTTTGCTTTCACTTCTTGTCCTTGGATTCCCAGGGGTCTCACCTAGCAGAGAGGCTACTGGGGATCTTGAGCTCTGCGCCTTCAGAAAATGATCTTCTTTCAAGGAGAACAAGGAAGACAGCCACCATTATTTTAAAAAGAATTTTAAAAAGTCTACCCAGGTGTGAGGTGATCTTTGCTGCTCTAGCACCCCATTCATTCCCTGACGGCTGAGAAATTTCTTTGCACAGCTATGTTTATTCCCAGGCTGTCTATTTGTATAAATAAATAAATACAGGTACAAGTGTTTGCAAAATGTCAACATTCTGCAATTATTTCTCTGCAAATTTATCTTTTATTTAATCATTTATCATGGATAATATAGCTATTTCTTTTTTCCCCTTTGCTTTACTGAGGTGTAATTAATAACTTGCAAGTGAAATTGTACACATTTAAGGCACACATGCAATGATTTTGGTGTACGTATACATTGTGAAAAGATTTTCAATCAAGGTTGTTAACACGCCCATCATCCCATGTGATTACTTTTTTTGTTTCTGATGGAAACACTTAAGATCAACTCTCTTGGCAAATTTCAAGTAGATGACACAGTACTGTCAACTGTGTGTTAGACCCCAGAACTCATTCGTCTTATAGCTGAAGAGCCATTTTAGCTTTCAGAAAAAGGGTCTTCCTGCCAAGTCCAGCGGCCTGACATCCAAGCACAGGGAGGTCAGTAAGGGAGGGCAGATAAGAGATGGCATTTCCAGGTCACGCTGCCTCCGCGGCTGTCTCATGAGTGACACTCTGGGTTCTGACAGCAGGGGCTGCACTGCTGGCTGGGCTGATGGGCACATCCAGCAGCCTCAGCGAGACCCTTCTCACAGGGGGGATCACGCAGGCTGGCTGCCTCTTCAGACTTGGAGCTGACCTTCAGCTTGGGCAAACCAGGACAGTCCTTTGAGTCCGGCCAGTCTCAGGCACAGAGAGATGGGTTGAGTGTCCACAGATCCTATCTCCACTTCAAAGCTATGCTGGCCACCTGGGCTAGACGTTGAGGACCGAAATCCTACCCCACAAATCCATCTCTTTGGGCTGAAGATGTCAAGATGTAGACCTTTCCAGAGGGACAACACATTTCCTTGTTGCACTAACCAGAACCCTTCGGGTCCTAAGTGACAGAAACGTAGAACAGCAAAGCATACAATAGGACTCAACCTAAGGCTTGGTGAGTGACGGCGTGGCGGGCGTCAGGTGCAGCTGGGTGAGAAGTCTGCCTTCTCCTCTCCTCAGCTCTCCTTCGCTTGCATTCATTGGCTTCATCTCCAGGGACAAAGATGACCTCCACAGAATGGCGGCAGCTCTTCCCTGTGGCCCAGCCTGAATCTCAGAACTTCTGCTGTCAAGCTCAAATCGGGGCCGTGGTCTCCATTAGCCAGGCGAGGTGCAGCTTCAGTCATGTGCCCATGGCTGGAGGGAGGAGAGGGCCAGGCGCACCCCGTCCATCGGTACTGAGAGAGGGAGAGAGTGTTTCAGCAAAGAGGACCTCAGGCACCCTTAGCAAGAGAGGAGAGGGTGGCGGTGGCAAGACGCCTGCTCACCACTCGGAACAGTCTTCACACTGCCCAGGTGGCGGCCCCCAGAAAGCAGCTCCCTGCCCGGGCAGGCTGAGCCCGGCACGGTGATGTGCGCTTAAATCCCAGCAGCTCAGGAGGCTGGGACAGGAGGCTGGCAAGTTCAAAGCCAGTGTCAGCACAAGGGGAGGCTGAGCAGAGACTGAGACATGCGAGTGTTAGAGACACCACACTAGCAAGGCCAGCAGGGTGGGCTTCTGCCCGAGGACCCCTTAATCCACTAATTGCCAAGGTTTCAGCTCTGTGAATAGCTCAAGAGAATTGATGCAGCTCACTAGCGTAGGTTGAAGATCCCAATCTAGAGCTTAGATGTCGTAAAAATGATAGTCACATAATCATCCCCTACATTAACAATTCCATTACTTACTATGTACTCTGAGTTTTTATATGTGTTCTACCTCTGGATGCTGGGGAGAAATGGGTGAAACTGAGAGGGAAACTCAGGGGCTTTGAGATTTAATAGCACAGTCTTAGAGCCCAAGAAAAATGCAGGACCATGAGAAAAGAGGGTGGCTGATGTGTCACAAAGAGGGCGGGGCTATTCCCAATCCCACCCACAGGCTTCCCCTGGCTGTAGGGCACGTGGCCTTCAGCCTCGTTTTGCTACCTTATTACACAGGGATCCCTGTCCTGCTTCCCGTGAGCCCTGGTGCCTCATTGGGAGGGCCGAGACACATCTGGGAAGGGCCCTGGCTTCTTTGCAGGATCTCGTTTGGTTCCCGCAGAGGGACAGTAAGTGACTAGCAGCAGCTAACTCCATCCAAGCACTGCATTATTTCAGCCCCTGAGGTCCAGCCTCTTCTTCCAATCCACAGACGGATGCTGTGGCCTGGGGAGCCCTGCAGGGACCTGCCACAGAGTGGGAGGGGGAGCCAGGCCACAGAATCAGGACACCTCATACCACAGCCAACTGTCTGAAACCAGAAGAGCTGGGAAGGAGGGAGGGAGACGTTCAAGGAGGGAAGACTGGCCTGTAAAGCAGTCAGCCAAGAGGGGTAGGGAGGGAAATCCAGGTGTGCAGGACACGGCTGTTACACGGGCAAGGGACCAATAGATTATAACATGGTGCCTCTTTGTACTGAAGATAATACCTCCATGGCATCATTTACCCATGGGTGGCCAAGGGTAAATCAACGGTATCATTGTCCCAAACACATAGTGGGAGGCGCTGTTGATAATTACACCAGGAGGACAGCTGTAAGCCGACTGGCTTGTTGAGCATGGCAGGACCCAGAGCCACCCTACCTAGGGCCACTGAGGTAGAGCTGGGTTTATTCTGATGGATATACAGTGCTCATCCACAGCCCATCCATCCATGGCCTTCCCTTAGTATCTGGATGGCCAGGAGGGACATATTAACTGGCCTTGATCTTTGCAGCTCCGTGCTCCAACCAACTGAGTATATGGTATAGCCAGGAGGAAACACATAATTTAATTAATCAATTAACCGAGCCAAGCAGTTCATAGCGTGGTTAATGGACTTCATTTGAGGTTCTGAGCTCAGCTATGTGACCTTGAGCGAGAGGCTTAATTACTTTGGGCCTCAGATTCCTGACCTGTAAAAAAGGGAGGAGACCAAAGCCTTTGTGGGCTTTACCTTGTTTTGGATGCCCAGCTAAACCCAGTGTGTGGATTATGTAATTCATCATCCTAACAGCTTTATGAGGTAAGGTTTACTGATCTCTCTCCACTATCTCCATTGTGCACCCCTGCAAATTGAAGCTCAGCAGGCTAAATAACTCATTGGAGGTTGCACCATTAATAAATGCCCACTTTATGGGGATTGTTTTTTGGTGATTAAATGATGCAATGCTTATTAAAAGCTTAGCGTTTTGCTGGGCTTAGTGACACACACCTATAATCCCAGCAACTCAGAAGGCTGAGGCAGGAAGATCGAAAGTTTGGGGCCAGCCTCAGTAATTTAGCAAAGCTCTAAGCAACTTAGCAAGAGCCTGTCTCAAAATAAAAAATAAAAAGGGCTGGGGAGGTGACTCAGTGGTAAAGGGTTCAATCCCTGGTTGCAAAACAAACCAACCAACCAAACAGTATTTTGACTGAAATTGAAAGTCAATTTGACTTTTCAAGTCAATAGAAAGCCCTGGATAAAAACAGTCCTTAATAATGACATTTTAATAGTTAGTGTCATTGTTGTCTTACATTTGCAATCTGGAAGGTACTAATTTGCATTTTAACTTTCCGCATGTCAGGAAGATGCTCTGAACGAAACCCGGAAACCCACTAATACTCTTTGATGTCCTAAGAGGACAGCATTGTTGACATGAC